TATGGACGAGATTTTATTCGTCCGCACCTTGTATAGATTTGCTTTTCTATTTCACTATACAGAGTGCTTTCCGAGCTGCTAATACGCTTTCGACGGTTGGATTTTCTAGGAGGTTGTATTTAGTCTGAAAATAGGGCACAGTAACTGCTACGTACGTGTTGTGAGTTTTTTACTGCTTCAAAATCTCCACCCTCCTGTAGATATGGGCGCACTTTCTACATGTACATCATGAAGTTGCAGAAGCATAAGCTCTTTGTTCGACGCAATGAAGCTCACGTCCTGCTCGTCCCTTGGCAGGTACAGTCTCTTCAAACATGCAGATTAGATGTGAATTCCGTACTTAGTTAGTAACTGTCTGATATCATGGTTCCACACTGGCATGTTGAGCCTTTCAATACACTCAATTAGTTACCTGTGACTAGTTAAATTTAACACTTTTTTAACGCCATACAACATAGTAAATAACTGGTCTTCTTGCTTTATGCATACCGCCAGTTTCAGGATTGCCTGCTCTTTCGCACCTTGAACCTTTCCAACAGTATCTTCCCAAATTCCAATAGTATCCAACTTTCCAACAGTATCTTCCCAAATTCGGCTTCAGATGGGAAAGTATTGTGAACTTCAGAGTCTGGAACGAATTCTTCCATTTGTTGTGCCGATTATCATCGTCTTCTCTCATTTTCGAATTCCTCAACGTGGCCCAGAACACTCTAATTTCTTCTGCTCTTACATTGTAGTTTACAGGTTGTTCCTCAGTTAGTTTTCTATAAAGTCGCCTTCTGAACAACTCAAATGTGGCGTTTGAATTTTTAATGCAAATCGGGACTCTTAAGTTTTTTATTTCAATTTTATAAATATAATCTTGCCGCTTGTTCTATCATGATATTTGTACCCGGATTCAGATCTCATGGTCCATGATAATTATTTCAAATATATATTTCTGAGACGCCTCTATCTTTGCATCAATTTGTTTCGAAGCCCCAAAATTTGTTCTAGCGTGTTCTTAACATTCTAAATGCCATTCTTAGGGAACGATGTTTCGAAATATCTAATTGTGACTTATTGAGAGTACTAGTACAGCTCGTTCTCAGTTGCATTTGCTGAAAATGGAGCTGAAAATTAGTAGACGTTAACTTTTGATTTTCGGAGGAATCTGATATGATCAGTCACAATCGAATGTCTTGCAGTGCAGAATTACTTGCGTTACGTACATTTTCCTGTACTGAAAACGTTCAAGATGCTGGGAAGATCGGTGTCTGCTTAAGGTAGTAGCCGGAAATAGTGAGGGGATTTTAAAATTATTAACAGACTTATACTTTTTTCTGCTCAATTTAGCATCCAGATTTTTCAAAGATTGCATGAAGAAATTTACTTAGAACGAAATACTTCTATCGTTGCGTGAAAATATTTATACGTAAGTTCTGAACGTAAGAAGACATGAGGTAATTTTGTGATTGTTATAGTAATTATATTTTGTATCTCACCTCAAAATCTTACCAGCTCATGAAACAAATCGGACAGGAACTTAATTACCACCACGCACTGCGAGAGCAGTATGTGTTGATTAGCTTTTTGGAAAACGATCACAGAGTCATGTATCATGAAATGATTATTAAAACTGAGATATATTTTTCTGCAAATGTGTAAAACAATATGTACAAGTCTGGAAATTTTTAAACAAATGAACACAAAAATGACTGCTGGTTCAATTTGTAGCATGAAAAGCAATATACAACGATAACGAAATTACATCGTAAAGTATTACAAGTAATGATTAGACTACTGCTTAAATGTGACTGGAAAACAACTACTGAAATATTTATCTCGATAAGTAACATGTATCACACAGCTTTTGAAAAGATAAATATAAATACTCGAACTTCATATGACCAGAAAATTTCCCCCAAAAATAAAGAAATTCTTTTAGTCAAACAACTAAGTTCCTTGCACCTGTCTCTGAATTAACTACAGTTTAAATAATGAGTAATAAATGCTGGAAGTTGCACAACGCATCGAATTTATTAGATTTGAAATCAATACATACGATAAACAAATGTGATGAAGATTTAGAAAGCTAATTACTTTTCGGTCAACTTTGGCAATCTCATTTTGACTAGACACACTGTGATCAGACTTCAAAGCATAGTGAATTAACAAATAAAATCACACTAAAATGAAAGACTTATTGTTACATTAATTTAAAATTCGTATGTCCAGAAGAGCTTGACTGCTGGAATTAGAGAGCTTCCTCGTAATCATGCGGTCATTATATCGTGGAGTAACGATGGCCAACAAATCGTGGAGTAATAATGACGACAAGACTTCATGACATCATTAAGCATCAAGCATGAAATAGCGATTATAACAGCAAAGTGGAACTCATTCTCATTTGGTCTGTAAAAAGCATCAATCATAAAATCTTTAGCGAAAATATAAAAGTAAAATGAACAATATTATTCTCCGTACTGCTGAAAACTTTTCTTGATCAAAGACAAAGTACAAGTGTAATTTTCAAAATTCTAACAAAATAAATTTTTGACTACACTAGCTTTTGACATTGAGTTATTAGAGCTTAGTCATATCAATAACAATATTATGAGATGCAAATCTGATCATTATTTCAACTTTTGAGCTATCTGGCAACTAGTTCTTGTTGAATATTGCTAAAATCTAAGTGATGTATCAAACTTTTAAAAAACGTCTTTTTTGTCCAAAATGATGAAAGAGTTAGTGAGAGGATTTTAAAGTTAATAACAGACTTATCATATTTTTCTTCTGCTATTAACAGACTTATCAAATTATTTTCCTAGTCAAAAACAAAGAATTTTCAGGAACATTACTCCACTGGAAATACCAGAGCTGAAAATCAATGCAAATGACCGAAAATTAATAAATTACGGAACCTCAGTTTTAACCGTTATCATCATGAATTAATGCTACGGTGATTTACGATAGCAATATTTCAATAAGAACTCAAAACGATACTTCACACTGGATTAGTTCCATGAGGATAAACTCCTGACGAAGGTGTATTATTCGAAGCAGCTGCTGTAGTACCAATTGTGCTCGTCTTGTCGCCTTCGATTATTACCATTCTCAGATTAAGGAGCAAACCATTTGGAGTAGCACGATATAGTAAAATTGCCAGATAACCACAAATAGCAGCACAAAGCAAGCACAATACCTAAAACTTTAGAAAATCAACTACATAAAAAGTTGAAAATTTTAAGGATTAGAATTTGGAATGCAGCTTACCGTAGCGAGAAAGTATGTGAAAAATAAGCTGGCAACAAAACCAATCGATGATAACATGCATATCATGCAGATTAATGAAGATAAGGAGAAGAAGAAAAAGAAGATCAGCGAATAACAAAAGAGCTGAAAGTAAAGTTATTAGTGTTCTCACTAAAATCATTTTGTTTAATGTAAGTCAAGTACTATACTATTATCGTTTTCATCCTTTTCAAACTAATAAAGACAACAGATTCTAGATTACAATTTATACGCACTGCTATATTATCAAAAGGCACATAAGATATACCAAAAGTGCAAATGGTATATATGCTGACATTAATCCAACATATATAATTTGTCGCTGAAAACCCAGTATGTGCGCAATCCATACAAGCAATCCCACAAAGAACATTGTCCATGCGCAAAAGAAGACGAATGACGTCCCAGTATAGTGGTAAGGGGAACAGTACAAAACTACCAACAATATGAAGCAGCTAATCTGGAAAGATAAAGGGTTATTCGATAAAAGTCATAACTTAGTCGAAACTGTCCGTATATTCCAGACTACGAAAAAGTTGGGTCATCATATAATTATATAACATAAGTCATCATATAATTATATAACATAACGCCAAAATACTCATTTCAAGCTTCATACAATTAAACAAACTGTTGGAAGTTGAAATTAAAAAAGCAACTTACCCACTGAGCTGTCAAGATTACACCAAAAGGCCATTTCTTTGGAAATTCCTTATCTAATTCGACCATTCTGGAGAAAACAAATTTTCTATAAAATCACTTGTAAAATCGAGACAAAGGAAATAATAGGATGAAGAATGCACTAAGCTCAAATAAAAAATTTACCAAGAACTTCTTTATGATAGAACAATATTTAACATTTCACGTTGTGCAATTTTGTTTCATTTGCTAAGGTTCTTCCTTATTCTGTGGAACAAGTGGTTTGTATATGTTTTTACGAACGTTTCTTTGCCATACGTGTGTTACGGAGAGTGTCTTATTTACTGTTTATTATTGAAAATTGGTTTTTTTCCCATTATTTTAAAATACAGTGCTTGTCAGAGTGCATTTGAGGAATGATTAATGTCTGATAAACATTAGAAGTGTGTCTGATACACGCGAATGGACGGTTTGTAAAAAGTATAGGTGTTTCATATGATAAAGTTATTTCATGCTTTATTTATTGACTGTAAAGGACGGAGATAACACTCTTTTATTATACGTTTGAGTCAGAAAATACATTTATATGATTTCCCAACAATTTTTATCTTTTTATTGATAAAAAAAATATGCGAGTTATAAAGAAACTCGAAAAGGTGTTGATGATACACAACACTTAATGACTTTCTGAGTTGCAAAACGTAGTAATATGATATGTTCCTGTATTAGAGGCTTCAATTTGACGCTTATGCAGCAGGAACTCGATGGCGCGTTGATGAATAGCGCACAACACTTAATGACTTTCAATCCCTGAAACAATTTGTAATTTTACTAGTAGAATGGATTGTCACGGTGATGCGTGTTCATTTTCAAAGCCAGTAGTTAGTATTCTATCATCTTTATTTGCGATAAACTATTGCCGGGATACCAACTGGAATTTCGAATTTAATAGGATCTTGCGACTTTAATCACTAGTATTATGTAATAGTGATTTTTGTGACTCTTAAAGTGTTACTCATATAAAAAATGTATAGCAGCAATAACTTCAGTCCAGTAACTTCAAATTGCAAGAACTTTTTTTCTTTTACTTATTCGTTGCATAAGTGGAAGTATTTTACCTTCAAGCAAAAAGTCATCGGAACAATTTAAGTCATTAAAAAAGCAATTCACCAAATGCAACTTTCCATCATAAATCATGATAGTAATGACTAAAGATAGTGTTTAGTTGGTTCCTTTTTCAATATAACCAAAATAATAGAAAGCAAATTCTAACACTGATTGAAAAAGTAATCCGTTTCACTGATTAATATTTTCAGGGAATGTTCAAAACCTTACGACGTCTTCATGGTCATAATTTAGAAAACAGTGGCTTGAACGATCTTTCCGAAGCATTTCAAAATTTCATGACACGAGCCAGGTTTTTTAGTGTTGGACGTCTGAGGTGAGATTAATAATTGCATGGGAAAAATTCCAGTATTTACTTAAATAGTTATTGACAGATAACAAAAAATAACTTAGTGACTGACCGAACTTGTCGAACAATTGTGGCGTATTACTGAGTTATATGTTATGAATAAGACTAACGCAGTATAGCGCAGAATTTTTTCGTTTTAAATCATAGTATGAGGTTAGAAAATATCTCCTAATACTGTGTGCTTGAGGACGCTTTGGAATGTACTCCTATATAATTTCGTTCCCAAATACTTTGTTATTTAATTGAAAGTTGGAGAGATAAGTTATCTTTATCATATTTCCTTTTAAAGCTGTGAAGAATAATTGTCAAGTGACCATTTTTTTGAATATTCTCCAAATTCTCATCATTACTACAGACGTACATGGTCTCATTCAGCACTTGAATTTCTGAAATATCGGCGTTTATTGCCAATGCTGACATCAGATCAAGAAATAGGATCCAGTGATTGTAATTTTTAATTTCATTGAGTTGTGCTTGTCTTACGTCAAAAAAGATCAGATTGTTTCTTTTCAACGAAATTTATTTATGATCACCATAATTTTTAGGTTTTTGTCGTTCATTCAAGCTCAGTAATTATATTATCCTGCGGCTTTATATCTTGCTTCATGAAGCAAATTAACTAACTGAAAATATGTTATAAGTGAATTGCCATTCTTTCAGTTTATTTCATGTTTTTTAGTATGTATTTTCTATTTTCAAGTTGCAAATGAATCGAATTCATATCCTCCAACTTCATCATATGCGAAACCATCAAAATCAGGGGTGTGTGGTCCGCTACCATCATCTCGAAAAGTGCGACGTGATAGTTCAGTTCGAACAAGCAGACATGAAGAGCGAAAAATCATTGTCATGAACATTTCGCCACGTGTTACAACTAACCAGCTGAAATCATTTTTCTCAAAATTTGGTCCGGTGGGTTGATATGCTACTGTAGTCACAAAGTGGATGCAAAGTTATGAAATACTGAAGATTTACATTTTTGGGAGTAATTATACAGCTAAAAGATAAATCATTTAATAATTAAAAGGATTGTGAACTGATAAAAAATGTTTGCAAATTTAGAGAGAAAAAAAAACTGGGGAAAAAAGTTGCTAAGATGCATCAATAATTGAAAAACTGTAATCGCATTTTATTCTTTTAACTATGTACAAATTATATATGTATATATATTTCTGTAAACGTGATTTATCCCATTTAGCGATTTCTATGTGATTGCTTTTCAAAGACTGTATCTTTTGTGAAAGAGCAACTACTCTCTGGATACAATGGTTTTAGCCTGTATTTTCCAGTTTTTTTCTTATTTTTTTGAGTTTTGAACGAACTATTCATTAAGAACTTCAAAAAGTAAATTTTTTACAATTTATCAAAGTCCTTTTTCAGATTTCAAGTTGCCAGATACCTTCAGAACAGCGTCGAAACTCACTATATGCTACACTAACTCCAAAATCTCGATCTAGCATGACTGCTTTTATAATTTTTCGGTTATAAAACTAATTGAGTTCATTTGATTCTGCACTGAATTTATAATATTTAGTTTTAGTAATGGTAGTTTCTCTAAAATTAATTTAATATTAAGAACTTCAAGCTTGGATGAATTCTATATTTTTGACAGTAGTGTGAAAAGTGCTGAAAAAGCGATAAATGCCGTCGCTGAAGAATTAAAATTTTATGATCAAGTGATGTCAGTTGCACCAGTAAGATTTCTTGTTTTCTATTATGTTCTTCTATTTTATTCCTAAGGTTGACTTATGGTATCATTATTGTTGTCATTTCAGTCAGTCATTAGTTTAAAATACTAGACAGTCATTTCGGTTATTATTGATCAAACATTGTATTTTAGTTTTCGGTCAAAAAGGAATGTTCTATCAAAAACTCTACAGAAGTAGCAACTGTATACACTGGTTCAGGTGAATGATAATAAAAGAAATCTATCAAAAGTTTTGATCCTTTTAGGAATCATTGAATAAAGAAATTTTTTTTTTTT